TTAAACCCAAATCTTGACTTCTAAATGATAAACTTTTAGTAAGAAAATTAAATCTAAACTTTCTTACTTTTTTTAAGTTTTGCATCAAACAAACAGAGATACCTTGCGGTGAAATTTGGTATTTATAAAGTCTAGTGTGCTGTGTGGCAAAAATTCTCCCTCCAATTTGGATAGTTGGGTTGCGATGACAAGTTTCATGTCTTTTTTAAAGGAAGGATAGTTAGTATTAAAAAAAAATTTTACTTATCAGCGATACTTTCTCAGAAAATAGTTTAACATTATACCTTGGGTTCCGACCTAACTTATTGGAATTATTTTATCTAAAATCGGTACTAAGAAGCGTGAAGAGGCAGTTTTCACTGAACAAGGACAAAGTTTGCACACCTACCCAACAAACAAAACACAGGTTTTTAACGAGATTAGCATGATGGAGAACTGGTTGATAATTCACGTGATTAATTCACGTACCCTCCTTGTGTTATACTCGTGGTAAATCTACTTTTCACAATCTAGAAGATTCCTCCTGTGTTCAGCACGGGTAAAAAACGCGAAAATATTCTTTGAAAATTCTCGTTGTTATTTCACATGTTGTACACGTAGCAAAATAAACCAGTGCAAAATCTTGCAAGTGTGAAATAAACCAAATAATCTTGTGTTCTTCACGGGTTTTTGTTTGTTGGGTATCGTTACCTTCTTTAGGAAAATAGTTAAAGGCAGCGTTAGGATAAGAAAGATCATGGATAATGTTGAGTCAGAGATTGGGCCGACGTCTGGTTTAAATAAGCACGTCGCCCTAACAAATTACAACAACGGAGACCCTGAGAGAGATTGCAACTTTTATAAAATTTTCAAAATCTCCAAATTAAAAAATAATCTACGGAGCTTTATCTTTAATTTCACATCCCAGACTCTATACCATAATGCAATGATTGCACATTTTGTTCCGGATCACGACCCATCATGTCAACAGTGCGATTTTGGAAATCTTAGGCCTGCACAGAGAGAAACGAACTCTCATATTTTCTGGGACTGTCCCAAAATAAGCGACATTTTAAATGATCTAAACCTAATAATATCAAATGGAGTCCTTTCTTATGAAGAACTAAAAATTACAATATTTTTAGGCTGTAGCAATCCAGTAACTTTTAATATCGAAACTACCAACATTATTTGCTTTATAGTTATGTACTATATATTTTCTACAAGGAATAATAGACGAATATACAATATTTCCAAGTTAAAGCAATTTCTTTTTTTATCACACTTATAGAATTAACAAACCCTTGTTTGTTGAATATGGGGATAGAACCTAAATTATTTTTTCTTGCAATATATAGTATTAACTTTACCGACTCCGAGCGGTTGGCAATAATAATTGCAACTACCATAACAAAGGTTTCACCATACCAAACCATGACGTTGCTACACAAGGCAAGTCAGACGTTTTGTCTTGACCTTGAGAAGGAAAATTTACGCAAGTTACAGTGTAAGCCTTGTATTTTTACATTTAGAATAAAGCAACCAATAGTTTTTAAATTGAGATTTCTTAGAGTCCATCCTACAAGGATGATTCTGACGAATCGTGCTATTTAAACCTAAAGATACATCCAAGATCTGCAATAATTGCAATACATCTTTACGTTATTTACATAAATACAAGTTTCATACATGAATAGACTGCAATAGACTATAATTTAATTACTCTGTAATAATATTTCAAGAATCTCTACTATCTTCTTACTCAAAATCGAAAATCAGATTTAAAAGTTTTCAATGTCAAAATTTTAAACTGTAATATCACGTTTCTGAAATTAAAACTTGAAGTGATTTAATATCAAGTATATGTAATTAAAATACTTTGTTAAAGCCCTAAACCAAATGACATTAATTGCAAAAAATTCAAGGTTTTCTTTACACTCTAAAAAAATGCAATTTTGGTCTTTAGCATCAGGCATCAAAGTTCTTCTTTCATATTTCAAATTTCTTCTTTCATTACTCAAATTTTGTTGAATATTTTCCAAATTTACAATCTAACAAAACTTGTTAATAGCTTACAAATTGTTCTCTCAGCATGTGTCAAACTTTGTTATATGACATCTTTCTTTTGTCATGTGACAGTTTTCTTTCATTGTAATTAGCCGATATTTTAGTTTTGTGTAAGATTAAACAAATTTTGATTTATGATCAATCAAACGTTGAACCATTTGCCGGACTGGCACGGCTCGCACGGGACAATCAGCTGATTTTCTAATTAGTAACAGTTTAGTCTGTTAGCTGACAGCGCTTATACCTACGTCAATTCGATCTGGAAATTTGGAGATATCAAAAAGATTTAAAGGGAAACCTCCAAGAAACTGGAAGAACAAAATTAAAACTTGTTTAAGCCTTTGTACACTCTCTCAAACTAATGCTTGAATTTTCAATGCTTTACTTGAAAGAGAGTATCAATGCAAAACCAAATCTTCCATAATTCAGACTGCAGAATCTACTTCTACAAGAATCAAATACGTTGTCTAAATTGGTGATCAATTGATGCCCTGTCCTTTAAGCTTTGAATTGTAATAAAGTGTAAAACTTATGCTGCATGTTACTTTAAAGATTTGTATTAAGATCTTTTATTTGCCTATTCATACTTTGTTATTTCATGTATTTGTATTATAAAAAAATGTGATAAACTTTAAACTTATGATATTTAAATTTTTGTTTTTATCAATTGCATTTTTGCCGATTTATAGGTTTTAAAAACTAATAAATTGTATTAAAAATTGAAATTTTACATAACAGCCGGATTTTTAAGTATATCAACAAACTTTGAATCTAGTTAAAACAAATTTTGAGAGAATAGGTGGCGCCACCTGTAACAACCTCTTTTGACGGGTCAAGATTCAAAGCTGAATAATCATTATCATATAACAAATGATTACTTAGTTGCGCAGTAAGTTGAAGGGACATTCAACAAATTTTGACGCATGCTAATTTTTAAACTGCGCAGTGTCGCTGGTTGAATCAACATCAAAAAAACTTTGTGAGATGATAATTATATGGAGGCGTGGCTCGGGCAGCACAGCGAGCGGACAAACACCGGTTGATAGATCATGTAACAAACTTTGAATTAAGGCGACTGAAAATACATTCAACAAAATTTGACGAATGATTCTGCTAAGGTGTATTTGAGTCCAGTGCTCCAACAAATTTTGTTAGATGAAAATTTGAAATTTCTTAGAGTGTATGCTTAGTTAAACCGAAACCTGGAACCTAACTGACAGCCAGACGGATCTCAGATCTGGTGATCTCAGATCTACACCTGACAACTGATAAATAGCGGTAAAAAAGATTTCTAAAAAGCCCTGTGGAAAACTGGCAGATTGCTTTCACTCTCACTGGATTTTATATCTTTTTTTTTTAAAAGAAACCAAGGGCGTGCACACAGACCACAACGAACTGTAAAGGTTTAACCTTAATGAATCGAATCTAATCTACATTCTCATTAACAAGATTTCAAGTTTTTGAATTATGCTCAAAATCGTAAATCTAAAAAAAAACTTAAAAATTTTTTTTTTCTCCTAATCTTAAACTTGAATAACTAGCCTTTTGACGTAGTCTTTTTTAATATCACGTTTACGCCTGTAAAGGTTTAACCTGATTGAATCGAATCTAATGAAATAAATAATAAAATTTCAAGATATTAAATTATGCTCAAAATCGAAGATCTGACTCATATTTTTCAATGTTTAAATTCTAAATTTGAACTCTCTAATAATTGCAACTCTAGAATAAGAATTAACTTTTATAATTATAAACCTAATGGCCTTGCTGTCAAAAAAAAAAAAAAATTTTTCATGGTTTTCTCTTTACCTAGTTAAACCGAAACCTGGAAGATAAATGACTGCGAGAATGACCTCGGATCTGGCGAACCTCAGCAGATCTGGCGAACCTCTGAGCTGCATTTCTCAACGAAAAATAACGGTAAAAAATATATTTCCACAAGCCCCCAAGAAGACTGGCAGATTTCTTTCATTATCACTGAATTTTAAATCTTTTTTATACAGAGAACAGGGGCGTGCACATGGATCACATTGAACTGTAAAGGTTTAAACCCTATTAAACCGAAACTAATGTACATGCTAATTAATAAAATTTCAAGAGTTTAAATTATGTTCAAAAACTAGAATCAACTTAAAGTTTACAATGTCAATTTTCTAAATTTAAAAAAATTTAATTTTATTTTGATATTTATGGTGTAAAAGTTTACTATTGTAACCTACAAACTTAATGACCTTACTGTAAAAAATTCGAAGGTTAACCCTATTGAATCGAAGTTAAAAAACTTTTTTTCATTTGCTATAAGTCTTGCTTGACACAGGTTACTGTCATATTTCTACGACCTCAATTTTCCTATTCACCTAATCTTCTTTTTGGTTTAATTTATTTTAATTTAATAATCTCTTTCTGTATTTCTAAAATATTCTTCTGTATAAAAGACCTGAATATTTGAATTAAACATCATTTTCTTCCCCATATAAGTACTGTTACAAAAATCGTAATTATTCAGAAGTATATTTTGTAAAAGCGAATTTCACTCGGGATGATTTAAGCACTACCAATTGCAAGCTTTAAATAAACTAAAACTAATAGTTTCTTTTAATTATTCAGTTTGAACTGAACTGAACCACTCCTGGAACTAGCAAAAAACGGTGACAAGATGCAACGCCGAGAAAACAAGATGTCACAAGATAATGGGACAGCGTAGAGTCTGTCCCCCTTTTTGTCGGCCATCATCATTATTAAATTGCTGGCATACTAGCTTAGCAGTTTAAAAAGATACTAACGAACCTTCAATGTTCGTATTTAGTATATCTTCTGTAATGAATTATTTTGTTCCTTCTAACATCCTGCTAAGGAAGTCGCAATATTATTAAGACGAACCATCAATGTTCGCATCTATTGCATCTATCTTCAGTCGTTCGAGTACTTCTTAATTATTGTGTTCACTCTTTTACCTTGCACATGAAGCCTCGATAATAACGAATTAACATATGTTCGCTTAAAATGTAGCCTCAATATTAACGAAGAACGGACAATGTTCCTCGTTGTGGGGATCAAAATAATTTTTTTTACTGTAAAAACTCACTTATACCGTGTATGCTCATATGAAAGCATACACACTGATAGCAATTTTCCAATAAGAGATAACACACACTGTGCCTGTATTATCTCCCAGTCATATTTCATAAAAGAATGCTATCATTTCTTCTCTTGTTTTCTATCGAACTGTTGCTTTACCAACGCTTGAATCTAAATGATGTATAATGATTTATAACTATATGTAAAAAAATTTTTTTGTGTTAAACCCATGTTAACAATCTAATAAACTATGATATACGTAAAATAAATATCTAGATTTTAAAAAGTATTAAAAATAAAAACGCATCGAAAACTTTTGATCTTTTGACTGAGCTTACATTGGTGCAGGGGTTGTTGTTGTTGTTGTAGTGGTTGTTGTGGTGGTTGTTGTTGTTGTGGTAGGGGTTGTTGTGGTTGTTGTTGTTGTTGTGGTAGTGGTGGTTGTAGTGGTTGTTGTAGAAGGTAGAATCTAAAAAATAAAAGTTGATTTCATTATGAATTAGAAACATAGATAAAAATAACAATATATCATTTCTTGTCAATATTGTCCTGCTTTTCTTGTCAGTATGCTTCGGTACATTTTCCAAACTATGCTGCTATGATGTTAACAAGAAATCTAAGATTTATCTTTAATTAAAAGAAAACGCCCGATCGCCATTATTGACTTATTTAAATACTCACGTACCAGCATCAGTCCCTTCAAGACTTCAGTTTCAACGTAAGCAAAAACTTCTTCTTCTTCTTCCAAGACATATTCGAGCTTGTCCAACTATTATACAGGAGAATTTCTAATTTAAGTTTACGCTTCATATCGCTTTTTTCCGCTAGGTGTCTCTGCCAGTGTAATTATTCAAAGCATCAATCAAGCAGAGACATCTAGTGGCCAACTATTTTGGCATTTAAAGTGTGCATTGTATATAAAACGATTAAAAAATATTGTGAAATATTAACTAAATATGAATGCGTAGAAAAATAATTAATAACTATGGTTGTAATGTCTGAATGATTTGTTTACAATTGAATTTACTATATAAGATCCAAGTTAGGGTTTCCAACAAAATTTTGGGTTACGGTTTCCGTACGGAAATGATTCGGAAATTTTTCCATTTCCATTAAGGAAAAGGTTCCGGATTTCGGAAATAATGTCTAAGTTTATTATATTTTTGATTATCTTTTTAAAGCCTTGGAAAAACCTACGCTCATTCCATTTCCAAAATTTTGTTCCAGAAAAATAGAAACCCTATTCCAAGTTGAATTATTGCAACTTTCTGAATTTGTATGGACTATGGATGCTACGTTCTTCAGTATAAGTCATTTTTAACAATTTTCTTCTTATAGACATAACAGATAGAAGTAAGATTAGTAGCGATCGAAAGCGATTATTTTTCGTCTTGAGCCATTACCCCCTTTCATTTTTCGCAAACACTCCCTTTAAATTGACGATTTTTTAACCGTTAGGTGTCTCACAAGGGGAGGAAGGCCAACCACATCAATCTCTAGTCCGAAGCAAATTCTCCTCATTTTCTTGTCCGAACCACCTCGGAATCCTCGTCCTTCGATTATTTTGTGTTAAAAAGTTTCCAATTCTTGAAGATAAAACTATTTTTTAAAAATCTGGCCACGTTAGGGCATAAAATATGGATGGACTAAAGTATAGCCATGATTATATCATGTTGGAATCTTCAAACCCATGAGAATGATGTCAAACTTTATTTAGGGAAAACTTAAATCTCTTCTGCCTCCGTAATGACTAACCTTCGTGATATGAAAAAAATAGCAAAATATTCGGCATACCTCTGCCTATAATTTTTCCCATGGAACCACCTGGAAAATTCTATGGTTTTCACTAAAGTTAACAAAAAAGATTGAAGTTCTATAAACTTGGAATTATTTGCGGCATTCTACACCAGGAATATCTGAAAATGCGCGTTAAAGACGTTAAACTTGAAATTTTTAATTCAATTGAAACTTTTTTTTTCGATTTACAAAATTTTGATATTTTATTTTTGCCCATAATGTGGCCCGATTCTTTAAAAATTGTTTTTTCTGGAAGGATTAGACACTTAAAAAAAATAATATTGAAAGGACGAGGATTTTGAGGTGGTTCGGATGAGAAAATGAGGAGAATGTGGTTTGGACTAGAGATTGATGTGGTTGGCCTTCCTCCCCTCGTTTCACCCATGGGTGGAACAAAGAAAAATCGAGAGCAGAGGCACCAAGCGGCCAAATAATTGGCATTCAAATTACATTGTGTCTAAAACAATTGAAAAATTTATGAAATATCAACTCTTTACAAAGTGGCATCAAATTGCATTCCACACTTACAGGTTATAATGTCTGAATGTTCAAGTTTTAGATTTAATTGAAATATTCACGAATGTGAATTTGTATGGATGCTAAGCTCTTAGTTACTTGACGTTTTTACCCATTTTCTCCCTGTATGACGAAACAGATATTAGTAAAATTAGTTATAGTGATCGAGTATCGATATCGAATTCGATTTGATATCAGCCTATACCCCCTTTCATTTTCCGCGAACACTCCCATTAAATTAAGATTTTCTTACATGAGCTGCAGTACAGATGTTGTTTTCCTTGTCTAGATGGAAAGAATTACAAAGGTTTCCCATCAGGATACAAACTACCGCACATTGTATGGTTTCAGTCTCGATTATCTAGTTCCTCAAATAAAATAATTTCCTTTCTTTCATCCGACCACAATTGGTCTCACAATTAATCATTATTTCGTCCGACCACATCCTTTTTTTCGTCCGGCTTTGATAACAATCTTTTTTAAGGTACATTATTATATTCGAATTTCCAGCCACGTCTTGTACAGGGTGTCCCAAAAAACATGGGAATTCAGTGACGAATTCGAAATCGTCTTTTTAACTAATTCTTTGATTTAGTTTAATGATACCTACTGAGAAAGCTGTAATCTGTAAGAGTTTCGTCTGCTATGTTCACATTTTGTTTGTTTATGTTTTGACTGCATACGGTTGTACTTAGTAAAACAAGAAAATTGCAGTATACAAACAGAGAAAACTTGTCCGTATTCACTGTTCATCTTGCGGAGACATTATAGACACATATTTACAGTCGTTTACCCTTTTCATAAAATAAACTCTAGCAGACATAATAATATTATGGCTTTTGAAATTAGGTAACACAATGCTAATTCATAACAAAGACGATAACGAATTCGTCACTGAATTCCCATGTTTTTTGGGACACCCTGTAGTTTATAACAGTAAAAATGTAATTTCCTGTTTTTTTTCAAGAGGAACATCTTTTAAAGATTAAGTATATATGGATGAAACCTTTATACAATTTTTCATGTCATAATTCCTCAAGTAATTATCAAAACCAATTGATATATTTTTAACTAAAAAAAGTTAATCTTTAGTCGTAAATTCTAAAAATTTCAAATATAGGTGTGGTCCTAGAGAAGAACTGGTGAGGCTGAATTTTGTTCTAAATATTGTTTTATTTTTCAAACAAAAACAATTAATATTAAATAACATGACATTGCCTAAATTTGAAAAAAGTGTTGTAAGGCTTAAAAATTACATATGAAAAACAAAAGCAAAGCCCGGACGAAAAAAGGTGTGGTAGGAATAATTATGACGAAATTTGGTCTGCAGGGCAGTTTTCAAAACCGTTTATTCCAAAGATTTCCTTTTTGCAACAATGCTAAACTGAGAAAACAATACACGCCATAACGAACCAAAAACACATAAATTTCATTAAAAAGTCTGTTTTTGTAATGTACAGCATTTTATGTAGACTGTACAGCTTGCTTTAGCCGATTAAAATGGGGCCGGGTGTCATGCCTGGAGCGAACTCTTATTTGCAGCGAACTCTGGTTATGCTACGCGACAATTAGCGCAAGTTTCTTGAAATAAAACAAACAGTAAAAATTTAATTTATTTGAGTTTACGGTCAATTTTCCGTAACTGATCCATCGTTTAAATCTGAAAATTTATGACACATTCTTAACATATAACTTGGGTCTGTCCTAGAAAACACTTTTTGAACCCCTCCTTATAAATGTTTATACATATGTTTAAAAACATAATACAAAATTATAATTTTACTTTTACATTTAAACGAGAGAATAGAAAAAATTGCACATTTTCAATGATAGAATTGAGGTTTTTAAAACTAAAAGACGAAAAAAGATTTCAAATTTTTTTTTGAAAGTCTTTGGAAAAAGGACAAAGTACATTTTGAAGGCTAGAACGACATTTTAGATTAAAATCTTTTTCGGCGACCTTCCAATTTATTGACATTGTATATCTACTAGGCACAATCATTGCAGTAGAATAAAACGACGTTTAGTGGGTTAAAACGCAATTAATATCTTTGGAAATGGGATCGAGCACGTTTCCGAATATTATGCCTAATATTGAAGTTCAACACGGCATTTTAGAGAGAAATGTTTCATTTACGACGATCCCCCCCCCCCCCACCATCTATGGGTTGTGTAGCTCTCGAAGTAGTTTTTACTACAAAGCAATGAATTTTAGTAGGCTAAAAAGCCTAAACACACTTTTTCTCGGAGAACCCTTGTAGTCTAACTCTGAAATAATGAAAAAAATTAATTATAAATTATAAATTATAAATTTTGAAAAGTTGAAGCATAATAGGGCAGGGGGAGGGGTAAAATAATTCAATATTAGAACTGAAACAAATACGATCCATATTAAGTGTTTGTTTATGTGTAAATAATCTTGCGCTTTGCCGCGTAGCATAACCAGAGTTTGCTGCAGGTAAGAGTTCGCTCCAGGCATGACACCGGCACTTGTAATAAACCAAAATTTACAGAGAAGACGATTTTTGGTTTGTTTTTTATTTTATTTTATTTCCAGGGAAAAGATAAGATATTGCAAATAAAAATTATCTAATATCGAGCTTTTATTCAACTTTGAAAAAGAAATATTTTTACACTTCAGTAGAATTTTGAAGATGAAGATGAAGCTTAATTTTTGTTTCTCCATTTCTGAACTTTTTTCTAAAATTGTTACTTTTTATTAAACATATGCTTTCTAATCTTTTATTTCATAAAAAAAATTAATATAAAACTGTAAAAAAAATTTTTTTTTAGAATTGTAGTATTCCCTTTGTCATGAAAAAAAAATCAGATTTTAGAGCCCTAAAAATCTTCCTACGCCTTATTTGACATAAAGGAGAGGTTAATGGAATAAACTCTGTTTTGCTGAATACCCCATGAGGGGGCTTTCCAGAAATATTTAAATTTTCTTTATTTTATTTTTCCTGCTTCTGAATACAACTCTCCCATGTAGACTTAGATATTTTCCCAGTCTTTGTGTAAAGCCTAGAAATATTCATAAATATTCTTATTTTGTGTTCTGATACTCGTTTTTTTCAAGCGATCGAAAAAACGGTAAATTTTTGTTTAGGAAAAAAATTATCGTTTTTGTAAACGAACCACTCGATTTGGACTTTTAAAACGATCGTGTTTGAAAAAACATTAGCTAATGGATCCTAGTTTTATGACAATCAATTTCAATTTTTTTCAGGAAGATAGGTTTAAGTATGTTGTCTTAAATGTTTTTTTTTATTGGAGAGAAATAACCAGAATCTTTTCTGACCAAAGGGATTTCTGATCTAAAGATTTTCCGACCAAAAAATGAATTTTGTCTTAAATAGGTCTTTTTAGATCGTTAACAAAGGGTCGTCGATAACGGTCGCTATATCAATTGTTTATGATTTTAAAAAATTAAAACGAACTACCTTCGTCAACAAAACATCGAAATTTTTCAAAAATTACAATTTTTAAAAACGATCTTTTTCAAAAACTACCGTTTTTAAAAACGATCGTTTTGTTTTTTGCTCATTCACTGTCTTTTTTAGAACGAAACGATCGTTTTTCAGAAAGGGAAAACGATCTATCCATATTTAGAACATCACTTCAGAGTATTTGATGTTTTTGCGAAGCAAATTGTTTTACTAAATATTAAATCACTTATTAAATCACTAAATTAATGAATGTCTACTCTGCACTGCACAATTATCTCATTGGGCTTTTCAAAACTATAACATGATTCTAAAAGTCGTCTTCCTATTTCAGAGTTTTTTGGTTATGACTAAATTTTTGGTTTTACTTTTTTATATCAATTTTATAAATTCTCCCTACTGCATAAAAATATTTTTGCAAGAAAAAAAGAGTTTGCACAGAATTCCATGCAATTTGTATTTCTTTTGGAAACCCTAATGAGAACAAAGTACGATACCCTTGAAATTTTCTTATCCGATCAATAATGTGAAAGATATTGTTGTTTTTCTAGGTTTAAAAGTGAACTCTGTTAGTTCCTTTCCCTGCAAAAATTTAGTCTCCGACGTGGCGATGTCGAACATCAAAGGGATCCAGAATTATTTACCCGACACCTTCGCTATTGACACATATTGTTTGTTTTTATGTTCCCTTTGATATGCTTTCCTGCAGTAGCAATGCACAAGTCACTTCTGTAAAAAATTGCAAAAAATATTGATATCTATATATTCTATCTATTCTGATATCTATAAATTCAACCTTGATCATGTCAAAAGCATTTAAAGGTAATACCTTTGTTAAAAAGTTCATGCCATCTTTGCATGAGGGTGACTCAAGGTTTTTATAAGACGTCGAGTTAGTCTCAATGCGCTCCGATATACGGAAAATAGATAGATAATATAGATAAATAAAAAACTCATATGACGTCACTAATTATAGAGGCAGTGACTTCATATGAGGTTTTTATCCATCTATCTACCTATCTTAGAAGACGACATTTTCCGTATATCGGAGCGCATCAATCATTGGCTTACTTGACTTTAAACTATACCTTTATGCTGTGTAAACGCAACTACTTAATTATTTTCCAAAGAAAATAAAATAAATTAGACGAATAAGATTTTTTATTTTACCTTCCTGCTGCATACGCCAGGAATACAGCAAACACCAGTACTGTACGCGGAACAGTCATTGCAGTACTGTACGCAGAACTCTCAAAATGGTAACCGATCGAACAGGGGTTTTAATCTGGAAAAGTTTATTACTTAATTTAAAGGAAGAAATTAAAGATTCTTTTTCATAATTATTGAACTTCTCTTAAACGGTTTTGAAACTTTCAGAACGGAAAACGATAGAAAAATCGTTTTTCATCAAAAGCAAAAACCTGTAAAAAAATCGTTTTTCTTTCCAAAACGGAAAACTGAAAGAATTCGTTTTTCACTTTAAACAAAAAACTGAAGAAAAAAAACCAAAAAATTTTCCTGTTCAAGACGGAAAACTGACCAAATTTTTTTTCGTTTCCAAATGGAAAAATTTAAATTTTAACAAATTTAAAACGGAAAAACTAATAAAAATCGTTTTTCATCAAAACAAAAAACCTGTTAAAAAATCGTTTTTTGTTCAATAACCCGGAGAACTGAATTAACTCGTTTTTCGTTTCAAAATTGAAAACTGAAAAAAAAATATTTTTCTATGCAAGACGGAAAACTGAAAAAACTCGTTTTTCATTTCAAAACAAAAACAGAAAAAATTCGTTTTTGGATTTAAACCAGACAACTGAACGAATTTTTTTTCGTTTCAAGATGGAAAAATGGAACAAAATAGTTTTTCGTTTCAAAACGGAAAACTGAAAGAATTCCTTTTTCATTTCAAAACAAAAAAACTGAGAAAAAAAATCTAATCCCTACATGTTTGCAACCTGATGCAAGGAAAACTACTTTATGAGGAAAACTACTCTTTCTAGGAAAACTACTCTATCAAGAAAACAACTTTATCA